GGGGGGGGGGGGGGGGGGGGGGGGGGGCACGACGGAACACATTGTGTGCATTTTGTGCGTGTGCTGAAATATGCGTTGGACATCATGGAGGTACTGTAAGTAGCTGTGGGCAACACAGTTTGGCGGCCATCCGTCTCGTTTATCGGACTGGTGTGTATCGTGGGAAGGTAGAAGATGAAAGGTTGGCGTCTACAGTAGATCTTCAACTTTTTGGGTGTTTGGGCAAGGTAAGTGTTCGGGCGCACAGGGCACTAGGACGAGGGCGTCCTCTTCCTTGATGAGACACGTGTTCAGCTCACAACAACAAAAAAACATGTAGGTCTACACGTGCTGCCCCTTGCCGAAAGAGTATCAGTATGCATGGATAAAAGTCGCATTGTGCGTGCCCTGCTGTCTAGCTTGACTACACAGCAGTACTACAAGGCTATGTACGCACAGCGCTGCTGAAGGCAAGGTGAATGAAAAACGCCATGCCAAAATCTGGATCCTGAGACTATCTAATCGCTGACTATTTTCGCTCGCTCTTTTCGCTCTTTTTGGTCTGGAACAACGAACATGATCATAATAAAGCGACTCGCCTTCACCTCTAGCCTAGACTAAACGTCGCAACCCCGTTCACGGAGACAAATTTCTGTATCTGACGAAACGGAGAGCCAGGGGTTGGCGCGCCGGGAGCGCCCACTCGTCGCGTGATGAAATGATACATATGTATGTGCTCGACCGTCCTCGGACGGATCGCTGCTGGTGGCATCGACTCCGCCGTACAGCGGTGATGAGCTTACCCGTTGCTGGTGAAGCTTGCCACAGCCGCCGCTGCCGCTGCCGCTGCCGCTGCCGCCACGGCGCTGGCCCATATTCTCGTGATGGCTCTCATGTCCACAACTCCCACAGTCAACCCGCAGCAGAATAAACCAGACTGCAGACAAACGCCTACCACTCCCTCTCGCTCCCCGCTCGCTCGCTCTCCCTCCCCCCCTCTCACTCTCTCTTGGCACTATGTCGGTGTCGGGACGATCGGTTGCTACTGCGAGTTGTGCTGTCCCTGCGAGCGGCTTCCGTTGCCCCTTCAATGAATTTGGAGAGAGGACGAGGAGGGGATGACGTGCGGCGGTTCACGCGGGACATCCGAAGTGTATGTGTGGATACCAAATTTTTCCGAGAAAGGCAGACCACAAGAAAACCACGAGCAAAATTCCCAGCATGATGATAGACGTTCGTCTCCGTTCACCTGGATCCACACGAGTAAATCTTGGTGAGCGTGATGAGCTTTTGTTCCCCAAAATACTATTTCAGGAGATACCTTCGCGATGGCCGTGCTGCCTAGCTGATCAGATGTCAGCCAGTCATCAGTCAGCCAAACCGTTCCTGTATGGTGTGTGCAAGTCTGTAGACTATTACTATATTATATAATACATAGTCTAAGAACAAGGTGTGTGCTCTTCTTTAATAGGAGTTGGGGGAAAACGACACAACAGGGTACCCTGGTCGACAAGCGACACACCTGGGTACACAGTCACTAACAGCAGTAAATGCACACTTTTTTCGATAATTCAGTCCTCGAAGGGACCCGAGAAAAAATAAAGGAGGCGCAGAGAGCAACGCTATTTGCTGAACAGTATCATCATGCATGCATGCAAGTTGCCACAAATGAAACATGGTTGGTTCTCTTTGTTCCTGTTTAGAATCAATCGCGGCCTTCAGGATTGATTCCGGTGGCGCGGTGTCTCCATGACCATGTCTGTGACATTGTGTACGGACCTCAACGAAGGCAAGGAGAATATTGCAACTCGTGGGCGTAGGGTCTGTTCCAAGATGAAAAAGATGAAACACAGCCAGGTCGAACAGCCCTTCCAGGCTACCCTCGCTGGATGGAGACCCATCGCGGTGGTAGTTTTCACCCACTACCAGCTGTAATAGGAGACGGCAGCTTTCATTCTAGAGATTTGTTGAGGAGAAACGTCTCGAAGAGATACTTGTAAGATCCAGTGTCACCGAAGGGGACGGCAGGGCAGCCATAAGGCTAAGACGACTTTCTTCCCCCCACAGCCCATCTCCGCGCAGCAGGTAGCTTTGGGGTTTCTTGGTGTTCAACGAGCAGCAATGTACTCGGCTCAGATCGTACCTTGCAGTCATTTTTCATCACCAGTGTACCAGTAATAGTGTACAACATCACCTCCACACACCTGCCCTACACGTCAACCCCTCCTCTTGATGCGCCGTACACCCATCCGTGCTAAAGATCTGAACAGATGAATTTGGCGGGCTCAAGGTATTGAGTGACCTTCGTGGAAGAATCACCTCTAGACTGCAATACCCCTGTCCTCCACAAAAAGAACTACATACTTCGAGTAGTTTACCGATATCGACTTGGTATTCCCAACGGGGAAAGTTTTTGTCGCAACAACGGGCAATGACAGAGATTGAGAGAGAGAGCGCCCACGTAGTTTAGAAAATCACGAAATGCCTTAAAAGTGGCTCCGTAAAATATCCAGGACCGACCCCGTCCGCCACACCCGTCAATTATTTTTATCCTAACACCCCCAGCCTTCATTTTCCCATGGATAACCGCAATCGCCATACCTCGCACGACAACCCCTCGAGCAGGCAGATGGCAACGGGAAACAGGAAGAAAGAACGACCGACAGAAGAGGGTTGACCAAAAAACGCCATGTACAAACAGGCCTGACGACCTCGACACATGGTCTCTGATGTTCTTTCTCAAACACCCTCCCCGTCTTGCCGCTTGCACCGGATGCTCCAAAGTGTGCAATGTGCGAACAAGAAGTCAACGAACGGCACAGAGTCTCTGGCAGGACGCTTCGAGGACCAACGACAGAGACAGGTGCACGGAAGCGGTGTTTCACAAGACCTATATTCGTTACACACCTCCTCGGCGCGCCGGTCGACGGGGGGGCAGAAACCGTCTCATTGCTCCCAAGGGCTGTGGTGTTAAAAACACGGCGAGGCATTATACCTTTCAATACTTTCAACACTTTTTGTATCAAAGCAACAGGAACACTTCGCTCGTCACAACAGGTGGCCCCTATTTAGGTTGGTTCTCAACCGCGCTCGCGTGCTACACCCCCCTCCCACCACCAACCAAGCCTTCAGAAGGTAGGGACAGGGACAGGCAGCTCGTCCTTGTGAGGGGGGGGCTTAATATTGCACCCCCAGCCTTCTCCTTCAAAGACTCACTGAAACCGCCACAGCAGTAAAATATCACCAGTGTCTTAATGGGGCTGGGGGACGTGGCCATCTACGTAGAAATTTCTAGTCGCTGCCGGCAGTTTCACCTGCGGTGGGAATGAAAGAGAGGTAATAACAAGAGGAGGGATATCGACGAGCGGGGATCATATTTAGTTGCTTGAACAGAAAAAAATAAAATAAAATGTATGGACGTTACAAGGGTAAGGCGGCGGGCAGAGAGCAAGCCATCTATGGCACTGACTAAGTCCCGTGAGACTGCAGCGGAGGAAGACACCACTAATGTGTATGACATGTGTCACAATACAGGCAGGTGACGACTTCAAACAGGCAACGACAACGACCAAAATACATCGACACTGGAGACGGCCAGAAGCGCTCACCACTATTCCGTCCATTTCCGGAGTAACGATGACTTGGCAGCCGAGTCGCGACCTGACACGAAGAGGGCCAACATGCAAAATATCAAAGTGACACGGGCGGCGTCAGACACATACGGTAGGAAAGGACTGCGCGTATCAAACATCATCACCTGCAGACTCGCGACAAACGTGTCAAAACGAATCAACTCAAACCGAACCAGACCATCGAGAACGAATTTCAACCATGTGTTCGTGTTCTCTTTCGCCAGTCAACGCCCCACACGCACACGCAACCGCTCTGAGACTGACGTCTTTTCAATGGTCCGCCGGTTAGCGCGGTCGATACAAATATGAAAACACACACGCAAGACTCACGTTTCGGTTAAGCCGAAGGCTAGGTCAAGCATGTCTTCTTCGTCCTCGCTCGCCTCCGGCAGTTGGTCGAACACCTCGTTTGACATTATCACGTGGCACGTAGAGCAAGCACAAACGCCCTCGCAGGCACCTGCGAAACCACGCCAAACAGAAATTTCGATGACCATAATTAACAACACTTTGGCCTGATAAACAGCTTCGCTTTCTAAGTGGCATACGCGAGAAGGTGGCTACATCCAAAACAAGGAAACTTACCCTTTGTCGTTCAAACCGACAAACAGCTAGACCTCCTCTGCATACTCATTTGTTCTCCCTGCAGTCCGTAAAGCTCAATCTCGAGCACACAACCCGGGCAACTGCTTTCTGAGGGAAGGGGAAGGGAGCATTCAAACCAGCATCCGAAAACATGTATGATACATGTCTACCAGACCAGCCGCAAGTCACATTCACGACGGCACACCATTCTTGAGCAATAATCGGGTAATCCATGGAGTGGCGATGGCACGTCGCTCGTATGACGCAGCGCGCAAGCTGCTTGCGATGTGGCCTACGGTACTACCCTCTAAACATTACCATTTAGTTGGCAACACGCGACGATACTACAATCGATACGATGGGTGGTTGCAATGGTCGACGGGCAATTCCGAGTCAATTCATCGCTGTTTGGGATGAGTTGGGGGATTCTTAATGCCGCAACAACTATGGCGGAACCGCACCTTCCAAGTCGATCCCGTGCTTGTGCGCCACCCTCATGAGGTTCATGCCGCACTTGGCCGCCGTCTTCTTCTTCAAGCCGTCCTTGTTCTCCCAAGTAATCTCCACCCTGTAGCCGATGGCGGTTTAGCCATGGACATGGCGAGCGTTATTCGATCGGGCGTGTGTCCGAAGTTGCGACAGATGTTGATACGGGTGTCTAAGATGCACGCACTAGTATCATTTGATGGCTCCCAGACTCCCTGCAGTGTAACCGTTCGGTACAAAAAATCAGCTACCGTGACGACGGCGGCAAGCGAACAAAATATGTCAGCCGCGGCCACCCCTTCCTCCGCTTTGAGCTGTGTAATACGATACGATTCAAGAGTTCAGCCTGGGTCTCATACCCTCGACTCACTTTTAGAGAAGCAGTCAATGTCAAACCATTAGCGCTGGCAGACTACAGCCTTAACATTTATGAATTCGGCTTCAAAGGTGTTCCGCCCCGCTGCACTACCGATTATTCTGCCTACTCTACAAAGCGGCACACCAACGAGGGGCATGTTGGGCACGGTTGAACCGCATACCGCTCCCATCAGCTGACACTATTGCGTAGTCCTAGCAACTGCAGACCTGTCTGAGACAGCAGAAATACCGGTTCGTGTCGTTGTCCTCTTACGTTTCCGCGTGTTCGAAGCCCTCTTCGTGATCCCCATGGCAAGCTGCAATTGCGGAACCAACAGGTGCAAACGAAACGCACGTGCGGCGGACGACAGCAGAGGTGAGGCTTGGGCGACGCGATAACATTAAAGATACCAGAAATGAGACCTCTTGAGGTGCAGATACTTGCATACCTTCTAGAGTTCTATGGGTGTGTACGTGTGTATGCATTACTTGTAGACACCGGCTATCAGTCAAACCCCCTCTACATAAAACGCTGTCTCGGAAATGACAGATGCTAGAGAACCCAGTTGTCATCAAAGGTACTTGAATGCGGCGACAAACGGCAGGCTCGCCAAGTCATCGCACCCCCGTGCTGTCGTTTTACAGTTAAACCATTTCTTTAGTGCATTTTCATCGCACAGGGGTGTAATGACTTCGGACTGATGCTACAAATCCGGGCTTTGCGATAAGACGAAAACATGCGGGTGCAAGTCTACAGCGGTGACGACGTTCTGTGTGGAACACCTGGGGGGCGGGCTCTCACAAGGTGAGGTCAAGGAGCTTTCATAATAGCTTCCTTCGGCAGCAAGGGTTTCTGTCGGCATATATCTTGAACAGCCGGTCATGAGTCGGTGCACCGCCAAGTGCAATCCGCTACACACATGCCATGATGGCAACGCAGTAGCAGCTGAGTCGGTCCTCCTGCGGTACCGCGCGGTTTCTGCTGTAATCTCAACCTACATGCTCCTACGTGCACATGCCTCACGAGTACAAGATACACATGCTGTTTAGATGGTGTAAGCATATCTAAATCAGGGTGAGCAAGGTGTAAGCCAACTCTGGACACAAGCAGCCCAGAGGCAACCCGTACCATGTGCTACAATTCGAGTTGCCTGAACCGCCCCCATGGTCAAGTCCGACCTCCATTACTCAGCAACCCCCTGGCAAAGGATGCTGGGACCTTTTCACATCCACCACCTTTCAGTTGAGTGGGTTTGCCAAACTGGTGCAATACAGGAGCTGTTGTTGTCCTGAAAAGACCAACTGGCAAAAAACACTGGCATAGTCCCTGTCACCACTGCCAGCTTCAGGGCACGGTCTCGCCTTACCCCTTGCGCTGGAAGAAATGCCCCGCCTCCGCTCCAAATGCTGGAACGCGGAAACGCTCGGCGCTGCTACTGCTCTGGCTTCCGACGCTGCCGCTGCGGCGCTGCATCTCTCACGGCATTGCCGTGCAGCACCCTTCGCATTCCGAGACAACGCTCGAGAGGTCACCGAGGTTATTGTTCGCAGCAGGAGAGGTCCGAACTCCGCCATGCTTGCCCGCAGTGTGGTGTGTTGCACAACGACGCACCAAAATGGAAGGGGCCACGCGAATTGGATGGGAGTTGCATTGAGCAAAAATTCTGGTTCGGGATAGTTCATCTCGTGGCTACTGCTGGGCTCAGCTCTTGTCAGCTCTCAGCCGCAGCAGCGAAACCAACGCCGTCGGCTCAGGCAGGACAGCCAGCTCGGCGAAGCAGCCATGCACCGTGCTGTAAGTATGCGGCTTGGCCCGCTACCTTGCCCTCCAAGGCTCTTGCTACGCCCTCTGGCTAGCGAGGCTTCGACGCCGGCGCCACTCCTGCTGTCGGCTTGCCGCCGTCCCCTCCATCATCAGCAACTACTTCCGCGGTCTGGTGCAGTGAATCCCAGCCCATCCACTAGGCAGCAGGCGAGAGACATCTGCTCGACCGCTCCCGCCTGGAAGGGGAGAAGAGGGGGCGCGTCTGCGCTGATGCCAAAGAGGTCCGGGCCCGTGCGGCGGAAGTTTCCGGGTGCTGGCAAGAAGAAGAAACCTAAGGTGTGTTTATTGACTGCATGCTCCGTTGCACATCTCTCAACACATGGTAAACACTCTTGCGTGTAGCTGATTGCTTGTCATCCAACTTGCCTTGTACACATGTTCCCGCCGATGGCAGTATCCACTAAATTCCAGATTACCATGGCACGTACCCAGTAGAACGGCGTCTAATGTGTCACACTGCGGCTCCGACGCGCTTTTCCAAACGCGGTTTTCCAAAAGGTGCATGGCGCGCCCATGTCTCGGATCCACCGTGACCAGCGGCTGGAGGCGGATGGGAAGGCGCAGATGGAAGCTATGAAGGCTATCTCGCCCGAAGACCGGGCTAAGTGAGTGGACGCAAGGAAGGAAAGAAACAAGCTGGTGGGGAAGGACCCTTGCTCGCAGTTCAAACCTACAGTACGCGATGCAACTCCTCCTCTTGAAGTGGCATGTTTCGGAGGGTGGACGACGGTGTTTGGCATCCATGCGTGCATTCGGCGCATCTGCCCTCAGCAGCAGCGATAGTCGAACACGGGTGGAGCTTAAGAGTACGCGCGTATATATCATCCACGCTGTGAGAATTAAAGCGCCTAACATTTTTATTATCTTGAACAAGTCAATTCTCCATCCCCGGGCCCCGCATCCGCCACTGCTGTACGTCTCCGCAGATTGCAAGAGATGACCGAAGCCTTCATCAACACCCCGCTGGGTGCGCAAGACGACAGCATCAACGCTTTCCTCCGCCAGAAGGACCCGGACGCCATGATGCTCAACCTCGGCATGAGACTATCGGATGACGACCACGCCATCGCCGGCGGCGGGAGCGGGGAGGTCAACCTACCGCTGTCAGCAGACGGCCGGTCACCCTCACCTCTACTGCACGATGGAGAGGTAGACGCAACAGCAGCGGCGACGGCGCCCGAGCCGCCGCCGAGCCGTGATACTCTACCGTTACCGTCGCCGCAGCCGTCATCCCCATGGTCGCGTCAACCATCCGGCATGTACAGCCATTCCCCCGCCGCGCCGACAACTCCCTATCCCTACTCCTTGCCCTCATCGATGATGCCGTACGGCGGCGAGGCCGGGATGGGGTCGCCGCGCGGCAGCGGGGGGCGGGGAGGGGGCGCCGCGGAAGAGTTCAGCTTTCTGGTGCGGACCCTCGGTGCTCACGGGAGGTTCGAGGAGGCTAGGTCTAGGGTAGTTCCCGAGATGAGACGGAGGGGAGTAACGCCGACCGAGCACACGTTTGCGTCGTTGCTTGCTGGCGCCGCTATCGAGAGGGACCCGATCGCGGCGGAACAGGTGGGACGAGTGACGGGCTGACGGATAGTGGGGCGGATGAGCACACGTCGTTGTGTGGGGGGGGGGAGGCTAGCGTATACGGAGCAGCATCGCGGCGGGTTCTTTTATTTGGAAGGTGTCGGTGAGGTTGGCGAAGCAGGTACAGTTGCAGTTTATAGCAGATGCTCGAAACGTTTGTATGCTGAAGCATGCAGAAATATCAGGACGACGCTCTTTCGAGCGATAGTTTGATGGCTCGCTCGTTTCGGAAGATGTATCACCGAAAATAGTATCCCAGGCTAAAAAGAATGGCCGTTGTGATCGAAAATGACAGCGGGCTGCGGTTGACAGCCTTGAAGTTGACCTGCAAGTAGCCAAGGTGAAGTTTTGATGACGACTGGCCTTGTATTAGATATTATTGCAGCGGTACAACTCTATCGCACAGTCGGCAATCGCATGCTGCATCCCATCGCAGGCTGTTCAACTCCGAAAGGGTCTTGGCCGTACGTGCTTCTACGACTGCTGCTGCTGCTGCTGCTGCTGGTACTGTTCGTATGTGACATACCATTGTTGTCTCTTCCCGCTCCCAATCCACAATCATGCAGGTTTGGTCGGAGATGGTGGAGGGGGGCATCAGGCCATCGGCCCACGCGTGGTGTTCTCGCGTGAACGCTCACGCCAGGGCCGGCCGCATGCGGCGGGCTCTGAGTCTGGGCAAAGAGATGCGCGAGCAGGGCCACCCGTGGAACGTGGCAACGTACACCTCGCTCATCGCCGGCTCCACGCGCAAGCGAAACTACTCGGGGTGAGAGAACGTGCGCTTTTCAGACACAGAGCAATTCAGGCGCCACGGAGAAGAGATGGCGCCTGAGGTTAGCTTTAGGTGTTGCTGTCCCCACCGTCCGTGTTGAACGACTGTGATCCCGGTATAATTAAGAGTTATACATTTGCCCTTCAGGTCATATCGGTTTAGACTGGTCGAGTAGTCGTTCGTCTGTTTTCAAACAGCTTTCGACCTGTTCAGGGCAGCGTTCGACGGCCTCACTTGCACAGACCGACTGAAAAACATGCCACTACGTGCATGTTTGGGAACATAGGCTGGTACGTAGCCTTTACAGGGTGGCACATCAGGTGGTACATGGTCCAAACAGGGTGGTGCGGAGTCCAAACAGGTGTACATAGTCTTACATCGCCGCCTCCGTCTGTTTCGGGTTTGGTCAGGGCGTGGAGGCTGTGGAACGACATGGTCATCTGGGGCGTGCAGCCGGACGTGATGGCGTACAACACCATGATGAAACTCTGCGCGGACACTCGGCAGTACGAGAGGGCGATGCTGTTCCTGGATGACATGGACATGGAGGGTCTCAGGCCTTCCAGGATAACGATCGAGACGCTGCTCAAGGCTGCGGCCACGGCGCCCCAGTGGATCAGGGTGAGAGAGCGACCGACAAACGTGTACCCTTTCTCCTCGCAGCTCGAGAGACGAATGTGCTCGCGCCGGGTCAAGTGTGGTACCTTTTTTCGGTGTCGACTGTTGTGAGTAGATTGTGTACATGTACCACCATGTGCTTGGGCTGGGTCAAGTGTCTGCTGTTTGACTACGCCCGGAACTCAAAGATTTTGTTGAGTTGATTCTGAAGATGTATGTGCCGCCAACGTATGTACAGACTGGCGATTACGTTGCCAAACTGGGGATTAGAGGCGCAAAAATGCTTGAACCAACACGCGTTATTTGTTAGCGCGCCAAAACACGCGCTCTGCAGGAAATAGCATGATGAATCGTTGCAGTGCTGAGGTACTCGTGTGATGGAGCCGTGCTTTCCTGGAAGCATTCAAGGGCCTTGCACAACACAATGTGGTTACCAGTGGTATCATTCAGCGACCGAGAGTCTCAATTAGCTGACTGAAAGTGGCATGCATCACAGGCCGAGCTCAGTCTTAGTGCGAGGCTGGGTATCCCCGCGTCATGGCACTCGGCGGGGGGTCATGCCTTTTTGTGTGACTGACGGTGATACGCTGCCAATCGGTCAGGCAACAAGCGCGGGCCCTTCGGTGAACCATTCCGCGGAAGTAGTAGTTGTTGGGCGTTCTGTTTCAAGGTTCGGCCGCGGTCCCTGAAGCGTGGCCGGTGCCAACTGCGCCTCATGCGCTTTTTCTTGTCGCGGGATAAGCTGTGTTGACCGACAGACCTTGCGTCGACCGCACCCGCACAAGAGGAACCTGTCTCAAGCCTTGTTTCCTCTACCCCCTATGGTGCCGTTTGCACTGCTGTGTTGCGCCGTACCGTGCGTGTCCATAGGCCTATGGCACCATCGTGGATGATCTCGTGCAGCGCTTCATCGGCCTTGGAGTCACTCCAGAGGTTGACACCTACCGGGCTCTTTTGCTCGCCTATAGCAACGGCGGTGACGCGGACAAGGTATGCTTTGGGTGGTACGGTATGGCACTGCCGCTTGTCCCGGTATGCTTTTGGTGGTAAGGCCGTGCCGTGTGTCCCGGTACGCGTTTTGTGGTATGGCACTGCCGTGTGTCCCGGGATGTTTTTTCGGTTATATGGCACTGCCGTGTGTCCCGGTACGGTTTTGGTGGTCGGGAAGTGCCGCGAGTCACGGTATGCTCTGGTTGTCGGGTTTTTCGCATTTCGGTGATTTGGGAGGCACCAACCGGGCTCACACTGACAGTGTTGATGTATTGTACATGTGCATTAGATAGCGAGGGGGTCGCTCAGATGGAAGCAGGGTCACGAAAGTAGTCATGCACCCTAATCCGAATACACATGGTATAGGCAGTCGGGATCTCGAATCAAAACTGCTTGACCAACAACACATGACGGGCTCCAAAACGTTGATAACGCACTGTCGAACACTCACACACACAAGATTTAACTGTATGAATTACCGTCAACCGTCAACAATACACGACGATTAGATACCTTGGAACACACACACGAACGTCTTGATGTCTGCTGGAAGCACCGACGATAACATATGACGCGTCCCCAAAATTTGGTAGCTTGGCAGACACAAACGTAAAGTTTTTGACTGGTTGAAGCGCCCACAACAAAAAATTACCCACCACCAAAACATTGAGACACCTTTGAACACTTTCCCGAAGATTGTAGCTGTTTGAACCGCCGACGACAAGTCATGACCCCACCCCCTCAACAACGGTAGCTTGGAACACACATGCACTAACAGGTTTTGCAGTGCATCGAGGAG